CATAAAAACGACATAGTATAGTGAGGCATAAAAAGTCATAAAAACGACATAGTATAGTGAGGCATAAAAAGTCATAAAAACGACATAGTATAGTGAGGCATAAAAAGTCATAAAAACGACATAGTATAGTGAGGCATAAAAAGTCATAAAAACGACATAGTATAGTGAGGCATAAAAAGTCATAAAAACGACATAGTATAGTGAGGCATAAAAAGTCATAAAAACGACATAGTATAGTGAGGCATAAAAAGTCATAAAAACGACATAGTATAGTGAGGCATAAAAAGTCATAAAAACGACATAGTATAGTGAGGCATAAAAAGTCATAAAAACGACATAGTATAGTGAGGCATAAAAAGTCATAAAAACGACATAGTATAGTGAGGCATAAAAAGTCATAAAAACGACATAGTATAGTGAGGCATAAAAAGTCATAAAAACGACATAGTATAGTGAGGCATAAAAAGTCATAAAAACGACATAGTATAGTGAGGCATAAAAAGTCATAAAAACGACATAGTATAGTGAGGCATAAAAAGTCATAAAAACGACATAGTATAGTGAGGCATAAAAAGTCATAAAAACGACATAGTATAGTGAGGCATAAAAAGTCATAAAAACGACATAGTATAGTGAGGCATAAAAAGTCATAAAAACGACATAGTATAGTGAGGCATAAAAAGTCATAAAAACGACATAGTATAGTGAGGCATAAAAAGTCATAAAAACGACATAGTATAGTGAGGCATAAAAAGTCATAAAAACGACATAGTATAGTGAGGCATAAAAAGTCATAAAAACGACATAGTATAGTGAGGCATAAAAAGTCATAAAAACGACATAGTATAGTGAGGCATAAAAAGTCATAAAAACGACATAGTATAGTGAGGCATAAAAAGTCATAAAAACGACATAGTATAGTGAGGCATAAAAAGTCATAAAAACGACATAGTATAGTGAGGCATAAAAAGTCATAAAAACGACATAGTATAGTGAGGCATAAAAAGTCATAAAAACGACATAGTATAGTGAGGCATAAAAAGTCATAAAAACGACATAGTATAGTGAGGCATAAAAAGTCATAAAAACGACATAGTATAGTGAGGCATAAAAAGTCATAAAAACGACATAGTATAGTGAGGCATAAAAAGTCATAAAAACGACATAGTATAGTGAGGCATAAAAAGTCATAAAAACGACATAGTATAGTGAGGCATAAAAAGTCATAAAAACGACATAGTATAGTGAGGCATAAAAAGTCATAAAAACGACATAGTATAGTGAGGCATAAAAAGTCATAAAAACGACATAGTATAGTGAGGCATAAAAAGTCATAAAAACGACATAGTATAGTGAGGCATAAAAAGTCATAAAAACGACATAGTATAGTGAGGCATAAAAAGTCATAAAAACGACATAGTATAGTGAGGCATAAAAAGTCATAAAAACGACATAGTATAGTGAGGCATAAAAAGTCATAAAAACGACATAGTATAGTGAGGCATAAAAAGTCATAAAAACGACATAGTATAATAAGGCATAAAAAGTCATAAAAACGCCATAGTATAGTAAGGCATAAAAAGTCGTAAAAATGTCAGTATAGTAAGGCATAAAAAGTCATACTATAATAAGGTATAAAAAGTCATGAAAATTTATAGTATAGTAAGCCATAAAAAGTCGTAAAAATGTCATAGTATAGTAAGGCATTAAAAGTCATAGTATAGTAAGGGCATAAAAAGTCATAAAAACGACATAGTATAGTAAGGCATAAAAAGTCATAAAAACAACATAGTATACTAAGGTATAAAAGTCATAGTATAGTAAGACATAAAAGTCATAAAAACAACATAGTATAGTAAGGCATAAAAAGTCAGTATAGTAAGGCATAAAAAGTCATGAAAAAGTCACAGTTTAGTAAGGCATAAAATGTCATAGTATAGTAAGGCATAAAAAGTCATAAAAACGTCACGTCATAGTATAGTAAGGCATAAAAAGTCATGAAAATTCATAGTATAGTAAGGCATAAAAACTCATAGTATAGTAAGGCATAAAAACGTCATGGTATAGTAAGGCAAAAAAAACTCATAGTATAGTAAGGCATAAAATGTCATGGTATAGTAAGGCAAAAGAAGTCACAGTATAGTCATGCATTAAAAGGTCATAGTATAGTAAGGCATAAAAGTGTCATACAATAGTAAGGCATAAAAATTTCATAGTATAGTAAAGCATAAAAAGACATACAATAGTAAGGTATAAAAATGTCATAGTATAGCAAGGCAAAGAACGTCATAGTATAGTAAGGCATAAAAACGTCACGGTATAATAAAAGGCATAAAAAGTCATAGTATATAGTAAGGAATAAAATGTCATGGTATAATAAGGCATTTAAACGTCATAGTATAGTAAGGCATAAAAACGACATAGTACATTAAGGAATAAAGAGTCATAGTATAGTAAGGCACAAAATGTCATAGTACAATAAGTCAAAAAACAGTCACAATATAGTCAAGCATTAAAAGGTCATAGTATAGTAAGATATAAGGAAGTAAAAGGTCATAGTATGGTATAAAAATGTCATTATATAGCAAGGCAAAAAATGTCATAGTATAGTAAGGCAAAAAATGTCATGGCATAATAAGGCATAAAAAGTCATATTATAGTCAAGCATTAAAAGGTCATAGTATAGTAAGGCATAAAAACAACATAGTATATTAAGGCATAAAAACAACATGGTATATTAAGGAATAAAGAGTCTCAGTATAATTAGGCATAAAAACTCATACAATAGTAAGGTATAGAATGTCACAGTGTATTAAGGCATTAGAGACGGTTATATATATATATATATATATATATATATATATACATACATACATATATATATATATATATCTTGTGGGGCATTTCAAGCCCCCTGGTGGCCACAGGTGCCCTAAGCAGCTGCTTAGTTTGCTTATGCCTTGTGCCGGCCTTGGTTGTGAGACCTGACACTTGACAGAAATAACAGAAACATCATGATGTGAGAAAACACATGTGACAGGGAAACCTGCTCCGTCACATTTTTGCAAAGGACTGCAAAATGTTTTCTTTCTCCCAATAATTTATAGTTGGACTGCGTCACTTGTAGTCCAAGTATAAATAAGGAGTTGGCAATCAGAGGTAATAGAGAGGGTAAAGACATTCCAGCAACAGGATTAGAGGTTTCCTGAGCAGGAGGGAGGCTGGGCCTGGCATGGATCGACAGGGAAAGGTTGTAACAGCCTCAGAGGGAGGATAGTGTGTGATGTGGAGCTCAGAGGGAGAACGAGCTGGAATGTCATCGCCGGGTCGAAGGAGAGTTTTACAGAGCTGTGGTGCAGAAACAAAACTCTGCCAGCAAATAACCAGACTTCAGGCAAAAACAAATGAGCTAAGGCAGCACATTAAAGTCAGGCTGATGTATTTCCTGAGCACAGTAAAAACAACCACAAGGCCACTGTTTTAAATATTTACTTCAGGGTTCAGGTAATGTTATTCTTTTGCATTTCTGGCCAGACTAACCAACATTATAATGGGTTTTGCAATATCAAAAGTCCTGGTGGTTTAACCAGATGGACTTGAAGAAGACTGGGCAAGTGTTCATGTGAGTTTGTAGGACTGAGCAATATGACCTCAAAATCAGAGTAATAATTCTTTACACATTAGTGGACATATTTGCTTTCTCATGCTGTTTGTCCCGTTTAATTACAATGTGATGAGCTGTAGTTTGATGCAGCTCGTCTGTTCTGGCTATTTTCAGTTTGTAGAAATGTATTGAAAACTGCAATATGAGTAGATTTAGGTCAGTGAGAGATTCATATCAGTAATTCAATACGAGCTATGAACTTGTCATTGTGAGATTTGAGAATGAAACACATCAATTTAAAGGCAGAAACGCTGATTCATTCACTGTTTTTCATCAATTATTTGAGAAGGCTTTACCATCTGTACAACATGACAACATCCTTGACTTGGATAAGGAAATAAGGAAAAGGTTAAGAAAAAGGACAAAACTGTGGGAAATTATGCCCAAGTTGCTGCATGTAGAGAGTAGACAGAAGCAGAAGTCCTTAAAGGGAAATTCTGGTTTTGTACCAGATGGGTCTAATTTTTGTAGCTTTGTCCTTTGTTCACTTTGATAATAATAAATAACACTGCAATCACCAAGTGAACTGCTGAAATCTGGGAATATGGTGAAAATGGTAGAAACAAGTCTAACAAGAAACACCAGTAGTCAGACGATCATATGAGATGAACAGGTTAGCCAGACTTATTTGGAAGTGAAGGTGAGGGTTGTTAAGATCCATCATTTTACAGACTGACATCTTGGTTCAATTTTGACCTACAGTACTTGAGTTTAAGTTATTGACAACACACTAAACCTCTGCCAAAACAGAACAACATATCAGAGTTTGTCATGAATACAGCAATAAAGTCCTGGACTTATTTCCATCATTGTCCCTGGTGTTTTTTAACAGTCCACCGACCTCATCAAGGAGGCAACAGACATTCAGTGTCCAACATTAACATATTAGAGAATAAGGCTAAAGAAAACTAAGTTATATAAACAAGTAATTAAACCTTTTCAAAAGTAAATTAAGTAAAAGTGGCAAAGACAAATGAAAGGGAATTAACATCATAAAAGTCATTGCTTGTTTGACATAAGACAAGATGGAATTATCATTGGATTAAAAGATACTTTATAATACTATATTAATTGATTCAGTTGCACACAGTTTTTACATTTACGTATATGTAACTGTAGACTGTAACTGTCTCGTGTTTCTTGCCCCATTGGCCTTTGCCATAGCGAGGTTGGTGTTCCCAGGTCTGAGTACAATGTTGTTATAAATGGCAGCCAAAAGTACAAAAATAGGACCCAAGTTGTAACAAATGAGAATTTTCCTTTCATCGATCCATCTGAAGGTGGTTTTGCAGTAACACATACGGAGACTCTTACTCACAGCATCTCTAAGTCTTACCCAGTTCACAGGCTGTACCCGTCCAGCCACTGGCACATGTACATTTTCCACTGGTCTTGTCACATGTGGCTCCATTTTGACACAAGCAGCGCTGCCGACAGTCTGCTCCATAAAACCCTGCAGGGCATTCTGGGAGGGAAAAAAAAAACCAGGTAAAACCATCTTGTGATCTCTTATTTACCTGTCATGTAGATGATCACTTTGCTCTGTTGTGTAAACTCACCTTCTGTGCAGTTGGGTCCGGTCCAGCCCGGTGTGCACACACACTGCCCACTGGCCGGGTGGCAGATGCCGTTGTTACGACAGCTACAGGTTTGGTTACATCCTTCCCCATAGAAACCGGTCGGGCAAGCTGCCAGCAGAGGGACAACAATATCATTACCTCTTCATGAACTCTGCTGATCAAAAGTGGAAATTCCAGGGTCTGGTAAGTGATACAGGCCATAGCATGGGGAACATGAAGTCCGTACTTTCTCATGTGAGGCTGGGCTGGGTTTTCCCAAATAACTCTGAAACCAAGCATGTTCTTGTTCCAGTGTGAGTCAGCGTTTAAAAGACATTCTCGGTGCTTCGATGCTGCTCCAGAATTTTATTTTTCCATAACACTAGAGTGATGCCAGCACCTGTCAACTTTCTGAAGACCCCACACTCACTCAGGTTGCAGAACGGACCGATCCAGCCAGCAGGACAGGAACAATCTCCACTGACATGGTCACAGCTCCCGCCGTTTAGACACAAACACTTCTCCTGGCAGTCAAGCCCATAGAAACCCTGAGGACACGCTGAGAGACACACACACACACACACACACACACACACACACACACTACCTGTCAATAGCAGATATAGATATTCAGTAGGTGAATTTGTTTTCGTGATCAAGGAGCTTCTCTTACGCTTTTCGCAGAAGGTTCCTGTCCATCCCACCTGGCAGGTACAAGCTCCGCTCACATGGTCGCACAATGCCTTGTTGTCACACTGACACCGATGGCGACAACCAAGACCAAACATACCTGTTGGGCACTCTGAGAAAATACCACACACACACAATTTAGACTGGCAGACCAGTCATTTGTAGTTTCAAAACAGAGTGAACATGTCAGGTCAAGTTTGGTTATAAAACGATACAAGAAAGACGTGGTTGGAAACAGAAGTTGACAACTCAACCTCACCACAATGGTTCTGTTCTGAACTTGAGATTGGTTTATGAACTGTTGTTTCCAAGGTCAAGAATAAACTTTTAATCTCAACTTTTAAGCCAATGTGGAGAAAGAGTCCTTCAAGTGTTCGAAAAAAAAAAAAAACATGACAAGAAAAGCATAAAAAAGTTCATGTGATACAACTGAGGAACTCAAGAACAACTACTGAGTGAACCATATGAACAATAAATATGAACTGAACAAAAAAACAAAAACAAATAAACCTAACATGCAAGAAGAACCTGATGGTAATCAGAGACAAGACTGTATTATTTAGGAGAACATTAAAGCCACTATATGCAAAATTTGAAATCTTTACTTTGGCGCCACCTTGTGGTAGAATGAAGGCCATACAAACTCTTAATGAATGGATGGGAAAGCAGCAACTGCACCAATCTTCACCAGCATTTTTCATTTTTCTATAATCAGAATTAACTTCCCTAAAGTCCGTAACAAAAACACCAACATACTGTGATGGCAGCGTGTTCCAGTGTAACCAGCTTCACAGTTGCAAAGGCCCGTCACAGCATCACAGCTGCCGTCTCCGTTTCTACAGTCGCAGGTTCCTGCACAGTCAGCTCCCCAGTGTCCTGCATCACACACTGCGACACAAACATCACGTCTGAGTGTCATACATATCCAATCTTTTCATTTGCAAATAAACCAGTAATTCAGTTTTTGGTCTGCAGTAGTAACAGATCTTTTTCACTACTGTTACCTTTCCTGCAGTTGTGTCCAGTCCAGCCAGGAGCGCAGGTGCACCGCCCATTCACCGGGTCGCAGTGAGCATTGTTCTCACACACACACTTCATTTGGCATTCTTGACCGAATCGTCCACTCAGGCACGCTGCACAAGGAAAAAATTATTGAAAGCGTCACGACTAATCTACCGTAAGAAACTCCACCAGATCTCCCGAGAAGCACAGCAAGTTCCCATGACAGTTTCTGTTCTGTGATTCAGCTGTCAAGTGAAGCTTCAAGAGCCAGCGGTTGGTTTAAATGGAATTATGTTTGTTCTTCCCAGTGAAAATATGTCCGAGGTGGTTTATTGGCTGCTGGAGGGTTTCGGGTGAAGATCGCTGAGAAAAACTACTCCTCTGTCTTTTAGCATGTTGCTTCCATTTCTTGTCCAAACTGCACCACTGCACGATTTCAATATTCCACTGTGCTGTCATCCTCCTCAGCTGGTTGACTGTTTAATGCTTGTTGCTATGGAAACTTATCCCAAAAAAAAATGCACCCAGCAGATACTCACAGTTTTGGCAGAGTTTTCCCATGAATCCTGGTGGACAGATACACGATCCATTATGTTTATCGCACGAGCCGCCGTTCTCACAAGCAGGGCAGGTTTCTGTGCAGCCCGGACCCCAGGATCCCTCCACACACACTGTGAAAGAATAATATTTACTTTTTTATGTATAATGTGGGTGGTTATATTTATTGAGCTGTCAAAAATGTGCTGCCACTCACAGTTCTCACAGTGCTTTCCTGACGTTCCTGCTGGACACTTGCATTGTCCTGTCACTTTGTCACACGGGGCACTGGTGCAGTTGCAAGGATGAACGCAGCCTGTTCCAAACCGTCCCTCTGGACAGTCTAATGCAAGACACACAAGCAGGGGTTCGTCTTAAAACAAGGGGACAATAATGGGAGTAAAGCATGTCCTCTGTAGGGCCGCCCTACCTTGATCACAGTTCTCCCCATGACGACCAGGAGGACACTTTCGTTGGCATTTTCCAGTCACATGATCGCAGGACACTCCTGGTGGACAGGAGCACTGCTTCTCACAGCCGGCTCCATACGTACCTGGGTTGCATTCTAGAGACAGAGGAGAACAGAGCGAGCACTCACCAAGTTAAGACAACTCTAACACAAACTGTAAGTGTACAGTAAAACACCTTTGAACCATCAACCATTAACTCCCAAACGAAACCAAAATATAGACGAATGTAATTGCGATCATTCTATCGGTGTGCTCACCGTCCTTGCAGGTGTCGCCATGGTAACCAGATTTACAGACACAGGTGCCATGGCGACGGTGACACTCCAGAGTGTTCTGCTGGACACACTGACACTCCTCAGAGCAGCCCGGTCCGAAGGTCCACTTTGGACAAGCTGGAGGAGAAAATGAAAATGAAAAAGACGTGAAAAGTGTGATGAAAATATTACATTACATTCACTCATTTGGCAGATGCTTTATTCCAAAGCGACTTACAAGTGAAGGAAATCACTAAAGCTTCAGTGCAGTAGGAGACCTTGGTGTAAATACCAAGTATTACATCTATTCAATAAGTGCAAGGGTGCATAGTAAGTCATAGTTAGGCATGTTAGGGTGTTAGAGATGTTAGGAGAAGAGGTGCTCTCAGAAGATATGAGTCTTAACGAGATTCTTGACGGTAGAGAGGGACACCCCTGCTCTGATAGCATTCGGTGAACTTGTTCCACCGTTGGGGAACCACAGATGAGGATAGTGTAGACTGTGATTGCCTTGTGTGCAGGGATGGTAATGCCAGACGACACAGGAGCATAAGCCTGTATGATTGAGTAGATGGGTGCAGACCCAGAAGTCGCTCTGAAGGCAAGTATTTGTGACTTGAATTTGATTCGGGCGGCCATGGGTAGCCGGTGTAGGTTGATGAGTAGTGGAGTGACATGTGGTCTACTAGGCAGATTGAAGAGCAGACTGGCTGCCACATTATGGACCATCTGTAATGGTTTGACTGTGCATGAAATCATATGTGGGTACAAGGCTGAAAGTGCATTGGAAAACTGCAATGCTAATAAGATTCACAGTAACAGATCAGTACTTTTATAATCTTGGGTTCTGACCAAGTTCAAGGGTGAGAGTCTGGTGATAGACAGGTGATAAGTGACAGGACAGTGGGACTTACGGAGGTGGCAGAAGCGTCCGTACAGTCCAGGATCACACAGACAGGCTCCATAGGTTCGATGGCAGCGCCCATTATTTGCACAGTTACACTTCTTGTTGCACTGTTTTCCATAGAAGCCCTTTGGACAGCCTGCACACAGGAAAAAAGCAAATCACAGTAGGCCTACACTTCAGATGTTTTCACTAAAAAAAGAAAAAAAGAAAAGGGAAAAATTCTTTTTTGTCTCACTCACCATCCTGGCACAAGTCTCCACTGACTCCCGGCGGGCAGCGGCAGCTCCCAGTGACAGGATCACAGCTGGCGCCATTTTTACACTTACAGTGAAAGGAGCAGTTTTTACCAAAATAGCCCTCGGTGCAAGCTGTGAGATTGAGAAGTAAAAGTTTCTATCACTGCTAAACTCTCAGGACTGACTTTACAAACTGATACAGTAGTGACAGTGTACACATGTGTCAGAAGTGTCGGTGTGTGTTGAGCAGGTCCTCACTCTGGTTGCAGACGATGCCGGTCCATCCATCGGGGCAATCGCAGCCATTCTTCCACGGATTACATTTTCCTCCATTAGAGCAGTCGTCACACGTCAAACTGCAGTCATTCCCGAAAGTGTCATCCAAACACACTGCAAACAACAGAATTTAACACCAACAACCACTTAAGTTTATAGTCTACAGACAATTCATGTTCAAGAATTTATTTATTTTTTTCCTATCTAAATTGTAATCATGATATTTGACCCTGAAAAACTAAAATACAGTAACTGTTGCTTGACTTTTTAGGGCAGAACACTGACTGGATGATTATGATTATGTCAATGTTGAGACAAATTACTGCAACTGTCAGTGAAGTTAGGATTGTAGTTATACACAGATCTAGAGCAATTACTCAATCAACAGAACATTAGTCAGCAACTATTTTGATAATAAATTAATAGTTTTGGCAATAGTAAAAATACCAAACTCCTTGTGGTTCCAGCTTCTCTGTGTCAGGATTTTAGGCATTTCTTTGTCATATATAAAAAAATGAATATATTTGGGTTTTGGCCTGTGAGTCAAAAACTGTGATTTTAAAGTTTTATCAGGCATTTTCACTATATTCTGACATTTTATAAACAAAATGATTAAATGAGAAAATAAAATCAGCAGACCACATTGCCTCCTTGCACCACTGGACTTCACTTTTTTTGTGTTTTATTCTTTTGAACACTTTACAGTCAATTGTGTTTAGATTTACTGTTTATTCTCTTGTTTTATTTTTCACTGCCACTTTACATTTGTTTATTTTAATTGCATGGGCTCATGTGTACTGCTGACTGATAGAGAGAGCAACACTGTTTAAACTTGTTTCATCATATCTAGTTATCCAATTTAATTTATAGACTTTGCCTTTTTCACACATCTGGTTTTCATTTTTTAACAGTGTTAAACATAACCCATGTTATGTTCACATGGAAACCATATTTTTTACCGTTTTATTTTCTATGTACATTGTACGCAGCTCTGTGCAGCACTTTTGCGAAATACAAATTTCCCCTCAAGGGACAATAAAGTTTATCTTCATCAAAATATTGTCCATTTTAATATATTTGTGGTTTAGAGTCAATGTTCAGGGGAGACTCCAACTTTCAGTGAAGTAACTTGAAATGTTCAACTGCTTCTGCTTTTCAAAAGAGTCCATCAAGTTTGGGCAACTCAACACTGAGCCTCTGACGTCCTGCCGCAGACCTCGACCAGCTGCCGGTACATGTAAACCTCAGCATTCCTGCCAGAGAGGCTGTTGTGTTAAAATATGTACAAACAGTCTGGGAACGTGAAGCTCAGCAATTACCCCCACTTTGTGCTCTGTTCCTGCCTGCACTAAATGAGTCTGTCAGACGGCTTCACCTCCCGGAGTCACACTCAGGTAATCAGATACAGGTTGAGGTTCCTGTTAATGATAATGGGTGGTTAATGGTTTGGGAAGAAACTCACCAAACTTCTCTGCCAGGTTACTCTCTGCCCTCAGCTCGCCCTCGTCGTCCTCATAGTCATCATAACGCTCCAGGGGTTGGCTGTAGTCCTGCAGCAAGGTGAGCTGGGGGCGAATGAGAGGCAACTCAATGGCACCTCCGCTGGAGAGGGCCTCAATTGCATCTTCTAGCGCTATGGAGTAATAGGTGGGAAGAAATAAATTATACACAATACAACAAAATATACACTTAGTTTTTTGTCTCTTTCAAAATCTTGTTTTTCAAAACAAAAATACATCATTTGATTAAATAACTTGTTTTCATGCATATATATATATATATATATATTCATATATACACATAGTTTTGCAACAGGTAATGACAGCACATTAAAATGCATGAAATAAAAAAGTTTTAAAAAAAAAAGGAGGAAATAAATTTTCTACAACATGTTACTTTAATTCAGGAAAATCTGGTTTTAAAGTGGACAAGTAAACAACTGAAACTATTGCACCCTGCTAAAGGCTTTTCTGTCAGATGTCGAGTAAGAAAAGATTTTAACTGGAGGGAGTGCATTTCCTTATTTATATGACAAATTCTGTATGTCTTTGAAGCACATTTTCTCCATGTTTGTTCAACTTCACCAAAACTTCCCAGTGCTCCATCACCAGCTCTAATGGAACATGCTGTTAGTGGTATAGTCATTTTTCACTGAAAGAAAAACTGTAAATAATAAAATGACTGATGGATAGATTCAGTTTCACTGTTTCAGTTTCAGGGTATTGTTCATGTTGGCTCATTGTCACACTGTCATGTCTCACTGGGACACTTGAATAGAACAGAGCCATTGTTCATGTTATTAGTAACCCCTGTGCTTTCACAAGTCTAAACTTCTGAAATGAAAAATCCCTATTATTCAAAATGATTGGCTGCTAATATTATTACACCTGCAGCCTTATCTTACTTTTTCCAGTTGTGGCATAAAAATGTGAGGAACTTCAGAATGAAATGGTACAATTTCTGTTATATACAAATGAGTACAAGCCTCATGTTTTAACACTTTGAACATCTCAAACTGCAAAATCCACCCAAAGTCTAAACAATTCACCTCAACACTCACAAGTTAGACTGAATGACTCAGTACATAGGATGTTTTTTTGCAGTACGACAGAAACACTTTTCCAGGTTGTCTGATGGCATGTGTCTGGTACCATTCCCACTCACCCCCCCCCCCTCTCTCTCTCCCCTGATTGCAGATACTCACGGATGCAGGATTGCCGGTCCTCATCCAGACGGAAACCCCGGCGGCAGAAACACTGGAAGGAACCTGCGCTGTTCTGGCACGTGTGATCACAACCGCCATTAGTGGCCAGGCACTCGTCTACATCTAAACAACACAGACACAGCACAGACTCAACTGCTTTTCCTTCATCAAAACGAATCACTCAGAAAAGCCAAAGTTATTTAGCTGAATGGAGCTCACTTTACACATGAAACCAAAACAAAGACAACATTGTGCATGTTAGTGTTGACGTCTTTTGAGTCAAACTGGAACTTGCTCCACTTCAACTGAAATAAAAATTCTCTCTCATAAAAGCGTGAGTGCCATCCACTGTTGGACTGAGAGCTGAGCATACCATCACAGCTACATCCATCTGAGTTGAGCCTGTATCCTGCGGAGCAGTAGCATTCATAACCCCCGGGGTAGTTGGTGCAGTCCTGCTCGCAGCAGGAGCTCTGCTCTCCACACTCGTCGACGTCTGCCAAACCCAACAAGCAGGAAGACAAAAATTATGATCCGGCTGTGGTGATACGCTCCCCTGCTCAATGAGAGCAACCTTTTATGAGATAATGTAAATTGTACAGGTTTAACAACCAGTAAAGGTCAAAGTTACAACTTCTTTCCTTTATAAACTCTGACTTCAGTTAATGTTCACCCCTGTGTTATAAAGCCAAAAACTAGAGAGTACATTATCCTCCACTTCCTGACCAAAAGAGCATTCTGGCATCGCAGAGTGGAGACCTACAAATTCACTGAAGTTTACTTCACTTGTACCCACAAGATTTCTTTTTAAATCCTCTTTTTTGGCACTTCAGAGACTCCATAGATGCCCGATTTCTCTTTAATTTTCTGGTTTATGCATAAATTGTATTGGATGATTAATTACACTGACTGAGCTGCCCTATAGTTATAGTGCATTGTAAAGGGGAGTCATAGAGTTACACAGCACAACATTAGTCTCAATGTGACATCCTCTCATAGGCAGGATGAGGCTCAGAAAAATAATTTTAAATCAAATATCAATCCAGCATCAACTCTTCTCATTGAGTCAAAATCCAGAAAGAGCATAGCGGCTGGACATGATGAAAAGATACATGGAAAGACATATTTTCTGAGAATTCAAAAGACTGAGTTCAATGAAAAGTGGACTGCTTATAAAACCACTCACAAAGACACTGCTGACACCTCTGCATAAAGGCCAATAAGCTGCATCAATATGTTGCAAAACCCGCATAAAAAATAAAAAGCAATTAAATTGAAGTTAAAAAAAAGAACTAAGTGCAAAATGAAACCAGCTGTTTAACCAGTCATAAACACTAATACATAAAACAACAATTATTATATAATTCAATATGGTGTGTCTGTGGAGTTTCATGAGTGCTGAAGTATGTAAGTAAGAATGCATTTTATCTTGTTATAAGTCTGTTTATTAGTCCTTGTGACTGCATTGCAATTTCTTACCAACACAGGTTTTAAGGTCCTCATCTAGTCTGTAACCATGGTTACAGGAACAGACAGGCCCACTGGTTGAATGCTGGCAGTGGTGCGAACAGCCACCGTTGTTGTTCTCACAGCTGTTCACGATCTCCATCTCGATTCCTGTCGCAAGTTGACGGTGAGAAAAGCATGCGTGTCGATTAAAGGACTCAAACAGGAAGTACCCACTCAATATATGCATATGATAATACTGAGATAAGAGGTTTTTAACTGACTGTAACACTGTTTTCCATCAGATCCCAGCTCATAGGCAGTGTTACAAACACAGGCGTAGGAGCCAAGGGTGTTGTGGCAGCCATGAGCACAGTTGGCTTCTTCAGTCTCACACTCATCAATATCTGTGATGAAAGTGTTAAAAAAAACAAAACAAAAAAAAACTTGCATTAATAGGAGAAATGCATCTGGTCAGCACAATTCCATTTGCATTCGCCATCATGTGCCTCTCACAAATGAAAACCATCTTTCACACACTTCTAACTCAGTATTAATTGATACTGACAGTGGAAACATTGGCCTGCACATTCTGTGCCATCATGCTTCATACTATTTTTTTTATTAAAAGCCATACTTGCTTTGATCATTTATTACATGTTTTTATGACCTGTTTTTTCATTTTTGGCCAAACTGTCTCTCAAATTCATTTTCATTTTTCAAGATTGAACTTGGAACCAGTAGTTGAAGGACCGATCTAAGCAGCAACTAAATGTGGTGCGATTGATTTTTTATATTTCCCCTATCTTTCTCCTTCATTAATAACCATTATTAAATCATTGCTGTAGTTACTGGTGAAATTACCTTCACAGGTCTTCCCGTCTTCAGCCAGGATGTAACCAACTTTACAGTCACAGTGAGCCTTACCACCGTCAACTCGACACTCGTGCATGCAGCCTCCGTTCTGATCTGCGCAGGGGTTCTGCACTGTAACACGAAAAGCACACACTTAAACAGAAAATCCACATGGTGTCAGTCAAGCAGGGAATGCTTCTGGCACAGTGGTGGAGAAAACTGTAAAAGCTGACTCTCTACATCTTAATGCAGAGCATGTGGAGAGTTTTAAATCCAACACAGGAACCCTTCACCTGTGTGTGTGTGTGTGTGTGCGTGTGTGTGTGTGTGTGTGTGTGTGTGTGTGTGTGTGGTGTGTGTCTGTGTGTTGTTGTGTGTGTGTGTGTGTGTGTGTGTGTGTGTGTGTGTGTGTGTGTGTGTGTGTGTGTGTGTGTGTGTGTGTGTTTTTGACTTGTGTAAGCCTGTCCAGCATCTGGGATGAGAACCCTCAGCTCTGCAGAAATTAGAGGAAGCTGTTCACAGCCAACAATTACAAAGTAAAAGTATCTAAAAGACAGTGATTCAAAATACATATATGTATAATTTCCCACCCCTCAGAGACACATACTCATTCACGGCCTCCGAGACTGGACAGAATAAAAGAAGAAAGAATGTCAAAATAATAATGTGAGAAAAAAAACAATGAAGAGGAATGCTGTGATTCACTTTAATTTAATGTCTCATCCCCATGGGTGACAGTTAATCCTGCTCCAGCGCTGACATCCAGTCAGATAATTACAACTGGCAGTAGATGCCGGCTGTGTTTTTTTTTTTAATGTGATGATCAAATCTTCAGAAATCACACCTCTATAATCTTCCAAGGTAGTTTTATTGGCACTCTTTCCCTCAGTCACCCATCCATTTATCATTCCTCCTTTCTGTCTTGTGTTGATGTGCGTGTCTTCAGCGTTGCCTTACACCAGATTTTGGAAACAGGGACACTTACGTTTACAGTGCTTGCCATCCTCTGCCAGCACATAATTTGGCTTGCAGCGGCAGCGGAAATGAGCGGCAGACTGCTGCACGCAGTAGTGTTCACATCCTCCGTTGCTGATGGCACACGAATGGACGGCTGAAAGGGCAACAAAAGGAAAAACTAAGGGACATTACAAAAAGCCAGCAACAATGAGATGTAGGGATATAAACAGAGGCAGTCACACAGAATGAGAAAATCAGGCATCTTGGCAGAAAATGATCTGTTTCCAAAAGTCTAAACTGCAGCTTCATATTAGTCTTTCTGAGTTTTGATTTGACTGCACTGTCACATCTGCAGGAATCCTTCTCAGAGAGGCCATGACCACTGTACTGACATTTCAACATGAGAGAACCTCTGAGAACTGCTCTGCTCTGAGCCATGAGCGCTCCATCATCACGAAAGGCCAACAATCACAGAGAGATTTGAATGGCAGGGCCTCTGAGGTGGACAACACTAGTCCACTGATGAGGTAGAGGGCAGAGCCAGCTCAATCATATTTCTCCATCTATGTTTCCCTCCCTCATAGCGACAGATGAAACCCCCTCCCCCATGGTAGACGGGCTGGACTCCATCTCTTCAGAGAAAAACAACAGGTAGAGGCCGAACAGCCCGTCGTTCTCAGAGATGCTGTTTTTCATACTTGAAGGCTGGAGTCAAGATCCATCAGCACAAGTACATGTCAAACCGCAGAGTGGTTTCCAGCTCAAATATTATGCAGCCACACGCTTAGTGTGTGGGATACATCTGACCTCTGCTGGCAGATCAAGAGCTGGATAAGACCAGGACATCTGCTCTTCTTCGTCTCCCCATGACTGTGTGCTGATTGGTATGCGCTGTCCTTTATCCAGCATGTATGGTGTCAGTCTGGTGCATACTTGTTATAAGGAATGTCAGATTTCAGAGTTCAGTGTGGGATTCATCTGTGAACATGGACACATTTTGCAGCTCGCCTCTGCACAGTTTGAACATGACTGTCAGCAGACAGATATGCAGCCTCACAGATAAAGCTTCAGTCGGTCCCCACATGTGCACTGAGATTATTAGTGCAATCAGTCATTTCTTCATGCAGCAGCTGTCACACAAGAGCCTCTCAGGGACAGTGGGGTCCCAGCTACAGTATCTGCTCTATAAGACAATGAAACTACTTTGCTTCATGAAGCCAAGAAATACACAATGATTTCCACTCTGAATGTCAGACAGGACACTCTGTATACATTCCTGGCTGCAGACCCCAGTGCCAGGTTTATGCTCTTTCGGAAGACTCAAAGCCAAGGTATCTGGCGCAACAGAAACAATGTACAGGTGCTGAGTAAACAGTGCAGAGGTCAAGAGTGATGGGATAACACACAGATTTAAAGAATGAAAGCTGACTTTAATAACATACAAGCAGAATTTACTGTAGGGAAAGGCTGGAGACCATGATTTTCTCTCATAATAATAGTGTCACTTTGTTTTATTGGAAATACTTACATAATTTAAAGATGGCAAATTTCAAATTATTTATTCTTTTTCTCGATTTTATCTGTCATAATTAAAACAATCTCATGAAATCTCAGAGCTAGCACCTTTCATCAGCTCATACAACTCAACCAAAATGTGTTTGTTGGATTGAGATTCCAAGTTAATTCTTTATCTTGGAAACAGTAGTTGACAGAATAGTCTCACCAAAAGGTCCAAATCTGAAATCCTCTGCACAGCAGGATCATGCAGTCAGGTGCTGTTCAAGCACAGGCAACAGCAAAGATTTAAACAGAACAACAAAACGAAACAAAATAGTTTGGGTTTTTTGGACTAGCTTTTTCTGCAAATGAACAAACAATGTTCTGCACCTGCTTCAGCAGACTCACTTGTTCTTCAGAGGAATGTCACAATACAGGGAGATCCAAATCATGTGATCTAAACCCTGCATGTACAGTATGGCTGTGCAGAGAACCACAGTTGCATTTGTGAAATTACAAGTGTTAATTTCAATGGATTTTTTAAAAATTTTTAGCACTTTAAGGACTCCATCTCCATGTTGGCTTAAAAGCTGAGACTGAAAGTTCTCTCTTTTCCCCCTCTTTTTTCATGTCTTCCTTGAGTGTTATGGGTGTTTTTATTTATTTATTTATTCTTATTTTATTTTTTTTTTTTAGGAGCCCATTGTTCTCATTTAAATTGTGAAATCTTTTAATTTGTGTCTAGTACATTTATATATTTCAATGTAGAAGCGAAGTAGAGGTTTCTGGCACAATTGCATCTACTTCCAAGGTGCATGGAGAGGAAAAGGTCTAAGGAGATCAAAAACTCCAGCAACACTTGCAGTATACAGAATAACTTATGAAACTCAGGATGACCCTGATGAAGGCCACAAGTTAAAACCGTGTCAGTCTAATAATAAAATTCTGGAGTTTTGACCTCTTTACAATACAATACCTATTTATAGATTTATCTAGAGAGATTATGTAGAAGAGGGGATTGGTGGCTCTGCAGGACAAATTCCAAAAACTTAGCAAAGGGGAATGTCGGTCTGAACCCAGTGAACTTGTCCAAAGAAAAAAAATGCTCCTCTTAAAAGTCTGAACAGTGAAGACTTAGAACTGTATTCTAGGTGCAGATGCTGCCGAACTACAAAGTGTGAATGTCTAAACGAGAGCTGAAACGATGAGTCAGTTCATCGGTTAGCAGAGCCAATATTTTCCGGGGCATTTATTATAAATGTATATACATAAAGTGAATGTCTTTAGATTTTGGACTTTTGGTCAAACAAAACAAGCTATTTAATGACAATACTTCTCACAATTTCCTGACATTTTGATAATGAAAAGGAACGTTAGCTGCAGCCCAAGTGCAAATGTCCTCCAGGAAAACAAGGAACTGATTCACTCACAGAGAAAAGGACTTCTACAGGATATACACTGATGGGAATTAAAAAGGCACAAACTGTAGTCAGTGCGGCTTTACCAGCAAATGTTATTTGAACCATCTCACAATGGGGCTTTTTCCCAGAATCAAAGAGGTCATTTACCGCAACATCATGCATGTGGTTTACATGATTAGGTGCCCATGTCAAAAAGCATATGTGGCTCAACTTCAATGAAATAATGACCAAAAAATTATAGTCACAGTAAAACCTTCCAGCCTTTCCAAAACAGTGTTTGATTGTTTGTGTAAGTATTGAACAAATCAAGTAACTTTACAAAGTGTCTTCAGACTCTGTTCCTTATTGGATTCAATGAAGGATGAGACCTCAAATTATCCCCATCAACATGTTGTAGTCATTACATGATCTTATGCTTTTACTGCTCTTTAATACTTTTGTACTGCATATGTATTTGCAGCTTTTTCATATGGATGCTGCCCACCTGACAAATATAATGCTATAATTATACCTTTAGTCAACTCAACTTGACAAATGATGTCAAGAATACTAGCTAGCAGTATTATTTCAGTGTGCAGACAAAGCTGGAACATCACTCACCGAGGCAGGTGCGGCCGTCCACGTGCAGACGAGAGCCTGGGTGGCATTCACAGTAGTAGGAGCCCCTGGTGTTAATACATCTGTGCTGGCAGCCTCCATTGTGGACCAGGCATTCATCAATATCTGTGGGGAAGGAGAGAGGAGAAAGATAGAAGCAGACAGAAGCAGAGAGACAGGAGAGAAATGAGAGTAATTTGCCTAAATCCTCTCATTATGAGAAAAAAATTGGTCACAAGAATAAAGCCCAGATTAGCTGCCAAGCTAAGAGAGGAATTTAATGCAGGCTTTAGGATAAAGATGTACTCCAAGAAGAAAGGAGATGATGGATGAGAAGGGAAAGTATTCTACAAGTGCATTGCAGCTCAAACAAACAAATCCCCCATGTGGTAACAACTACTGAACATTTAAAACCAAATTTAAATTCCTTAGCTCCCTGTCGAAGTCCCCTGGGTGCAGCAACATATGGAAACTCAAATGAGAGGATGAAAAACATACACATTCCTCTCAGCCGAGCGTTGAGATTATAAACAAATAAAAATAAGGGGGTTCTTCATCTGAGAAAGTAGTGGTGAGCGAAACATGACCACCTCGCTGTGTGACCAGCTTTCAAATGAAACAAGCCGTGTTCCTAAACATTTCTTATTTTAGGGGTCAGAGACTAATAAATTGTTTTCCGAGTTCCACAGCAGACCCCCTGTGAGCTCTGAGCTGATTGTTTGGTCTTCTGCTAACAGCCCGTCTGCCGCCATCATCATCAGCAGAACTAGGACACAAAGTCAAACCCCACCTCCCCCTCCAAGCCAGTGGCAAGTCACCTGTTCGCCTCGACATGACTAAAATTATCTGGAGGAGTTTGTGGAAATGTTGTTGACTGAAAACATGTGATGTGACGATGTGACACATTAAATAGGTGAGAGTGAATGGCCTTTTGGCTGCTGGTTGAGGTCTGTAAAAACAGCTAACACATCATAAAAGACTATTAGTCAGCGCCAAGTTAAATGTCTGTTTGAGAAATGTGTTGTTCAGTATATTCTTGACTCTGGGCAGCTATTTTCAGCAACAACTATTTAAAGCATTCAGAGGAATTCCTGTGAAAAAGAGCTGGTTTTATGAGTAATATGGTGATATATATTACTTTCATTTATTTGTCTTGATAGATTGACCGTCTCGCCACAGACCACACATTTTTTCTTTGGGCACTGTGTCGTAAAGGAGTCATTAAACAGCTCAGTATAAACAAACCCCATAAATAATTTCTAAACATTCATCACAGTGCAAATCCCCTTTCTCCGAAGAATAAATAGACAGACAGTCTTGTAGCCTGCCCTTAGTGGGGGTGAATAATTTGAACATAAATACATACATACAGTTGCCTACATATCTTGCCACACAGTGCAGTTTCCTCCCATACACCAAAATACACCATGTCAGGGGAAATTGGAAAGTATAGTTGCACTGTCATGATACTAATGTACATCTCCTTTGTAACCGCCAAACTGAAGAACAATAACTGTAACACTACCTGTATACCTGCAAAATTATCAATGACTCTCACATAGATGTTGCTTTTAGTTATTGCTGCTTTGGAATTCTTTGATTATTTTTGGTTTTTTTTGTTAGTTTTTATTTTCGATGGTTGTGCTTGTTTTTATTCTAAGTTTTCTATTGTTATTTCACTTATTTCCTGATTTTTATATTTGGCTTTTCCTTTTCTTGTTTTATTGATACCATTTCATTTCAAATTATTTATTTTCATTGCTGTTGTTGTTGTGTGAACCCTCGGGAAGACCAACAACCACATTGTGCAAACTACTGAAACTACTAAACACAACACTGACACATCATTACTTTTCAAGATGACATTGCAGAGCTATTAGCAGTTATTGACAGTTCCTTATTTTCCACCTGATGAATTAAATTTTAGCTCTGTTTTTGGTCTCCACCATCTCCTGAATGAAATATCCGGCTCTTTAGCTGCTAAACGTTCCACTATGTTCACAAGCTAATCTCTAACTGTCTGTCTGTCTGTCTGTCTGCTGTTTGGTGCTGGCAGGCAGCATACAGTGCGTTTAACAGAAAGTTAGTTTTTTTACTAAAAAAGCAGCTGACTGCGATGCTGATGAGAGCGTTGAGAGTCAACAAAAACATCTCAAGTTGCGTTCTGAAAAACCAAAACAATGAGTTGAGAGACGCTAAAAATCTGTACAGTTGAAGGGAACTACAGAGTTGGGTGAAATTATCTGTGGGAATGCAACCCCATTCACATTACATGTAATAATTTGATTCATTGTTGATATAAAATTATTTATTATAGCAGCTTTAAACCTAATATTTTTCATGGCCAGAATCTGGCCTCCATATATCCAGGCTCGCATGGGATGGAGGCAGCGTGGCAGCAGGACAACCTGCATCTAAGCCTCATCATGCACATTACACTCCACCACATCACTGTCTCCATGCTCCCACTGTGCACACAAGTACACACAAACAGTATATGACCTGTGATTTACACATAATTTATAGCTTTACAAGGCCCAAAATCCCATAACCCTGATGTTATGGTACATTATGGAGGAAAAGCAGTGTTGTAAATTATGAAATCTTAGTGGTTAATATGATAAATGGAACACTGATTCTACTGTTCACAGTAAAAACAAGGACAGGATTAGGATGAGGACAAAAATGCAGTTTATGAGCATAAGGGGACCAAAATGTACTTGCTTAATGGATGCAGTGAAACCTGCCCAAGACAGCTGAATTACAGAAATATCCTTTGACTGATCCAGTATAGTGTTTGGGGCAGATATGAGCTTCTAAACTTTCCTCTTCTTGGTCTCTCTGCTGCCAAACTTCAGCCTCACTTCGTCCAGGAAAGCTGGCAAGAGCCCTTCTTTCATTTTTCCATACTTGCTGCTACGCCATCCTTTGGTTTGGTTTTTCATGAAACCTCTCCAGCGTTGCGGAGCCGCTGTTCTTCCGTCAAACTGCAGTGCACAGTCAGTGGTTTTCTACATCCAGAACATGATCCCTCTGGAGCTCAGAGCCAAAGCCTCAGCAGCCGTTGGCTTTAACAGAAGATGCATTAATTCTCTGCCCGCAGCCACCTACAGCACAGTGTCATCTGCATGGAAAACTGTTTTGGTTGGTTTTCCGATAAGTGATTTTGTTTATTGTGGGCAGAAAAGAAATTATTTCTGAACAGTCTTGATTCATCTCCAAAAACGACATCTAAGTAAAGCAGCAGAGGGATTATCAGCAATATGGCAGCAATACATGTAAAACATGTTTCATCATGTGCATTCATCCCCGAGTGCTGCAGTCATGCTGAACATGAAATGAAATATTCAGTCATAATAATATTGACATAATCTGTCGAGAGTGTGTCTGGTATCGAGCCCTGTTTGTGTTAGCGTTACAAAGCATCTCTCATGATTCATAGTTAGTGTTTTCATGTGCTCTAATCTCTGTTGATAAAAGTGATCCTCCCCTGCTCTGATCAAAGACGGTGCCAGACAGCGTGTACAGGAGACTCGTTATCAGTGGGTCTGATTAACCAGTCTGTCGGAGCCATGACCCGGCACATACAAATACTCTGACTACTGTAAGTCCCGCTCTATATAAAAACAATGTATGTATGTGCACACAAAAATATATTTATAATCCTTGGTGAAATGAACTCATACTTTGAAAAGAAAAAAATATACAGTATATGGTAGGATTTTCTACTTATTTGAAAAAGTAAAATCAATTTGTTGTAAAAAATAAAATGACAGCGTCACTCTCTTCAATGTTTAACAGTTAAATCATTTTTACAAATTCACTCTTGTAGATGGACCCACAGTGCAGCTGCATCTGCATTTTGGCTGTGAAATCGTCGCTTACCTGCCGCCAGGTAGGCCTGGTTGTAGCCATGGTATCCATGGTGACAGTGTGGCCTATAGCAAATCCTTCTGTAGTAACTGTGTGGATAGTTTGCAGCAGATGTCAAACATGCCATCACTTCAACTGATACCAAGAGGAAAATCCACCATCCCGATGACAAAGCCATGGCTGGAGAATAAAAGTCTCACAAAATATTCAAAGCAAAAAAACTTTTTTTTTTTAATTATTGCAAAAAAAAAACAAAAAAAAAAAAAACAGTCCAAATATTTTTGTTAAAGATATTAACTATGAACTATTTAAAATTAATGACCAGTCCAGTAAAGACTCCTGCTCTGAAGTAACATGGTAACTAGGTCTTATTCACTCTGCCTCCTGATTTTTCTGTCTCCCTCCCTCCCTCCCTCCATCTCTCTCTCTCTCTGTTTCACCCTCCCATCTACCAAAGCTAAATGTCCATCACATTAAAGATCCTCCTCTCCCTCCTCTCTCTCTTTCCCCCTTGTCCCCACACTCTCCTCTCACCCTGAGCCCAAACTCTCTCTCACACTAAAGGTACATCTGCTTGAACTACAAATAACCAATTCTGCATTTTACCAGCCAGCAGTGTTTTATCTCTTACCCTCAGTGATTCACCATATCGCTATTGTGCCACTGTTTTTTACTGCCTCTTCAAAGACTGTTATGAGATAAAAAGTGAGGATTTATGACTGCACATCATTCAGGTGTTGGAGAACAAAGAATGTGTACCAACTAAAGGATGTGCTGTCTATATTTTTCTTTTGATATTGACATGTATAAAAAAGAAAGAAAAAAAAAACCTGCCACTAAAGGAACGCCAAATTTGATAAGTGCCAGAAGTCAAATTCAGTATTTTTAATCCAAACATCTGAGAAAGGAATGAGCCTTGCAGTGAAATGGTCTATTCAGGAGCTAAGCACCGTGCTCTTTCATCTGTTGCCAACACATACATCCAAACACAGCAGCAGAACCACGACAGCTTCTAAAGCGCAAAGCATGTTCATAGTCATGATCACTTCCCTCATCTGAACAGAAACGGCCCATAGAGACCTCTGCAACAGGCAGCGACTACGAGCTGCACTTTTTATGACTTTGCCTCTTCATAATGCAACGACAGAGCTTCTATAACATACGCCTGCACTGTCATTACATCAGGCCGCAACCATCTGAGGTGTACTCAAGCTCAGCCAGACCAGCAGAAACTGATACGGATCCTTTTTGTGATGCCACATGCCAAGACATTCACAGCTCTGCACACATCGCACATAAAAATGCGCATTTGTGCAGACAGCAGAATTATGAGGACAATGATGCCAGCCAGGTGAGGAGAAACAGCAGCTCTCTAAAGCATGGAAAACAGACGATAGGCTCAGAGCCAGAACTGGAAAATAACTCAGAGGAAAAAAAAAAAAAAAATCAGCATAAAATACCAGAAAAATCCAGGAGAGAACCTCGCAACAGTAAAAAAAAAAAACAAAAAAAAAAACTTTACAGTAACTGTCCTGCTCTCTGGGTTAACAAGAACATATAATACCTGCTGATTTTGGAAAAAGTGTCTCACCATTACGACAGGTGGCAAGAACAGGCAGACCATTACTGCCACCTTCACGGTCGTGTTGATCTGAGCTGTGAAGTTCATTTGGCGTGACAGCTGAAATGTTGTCACTGCTATCCTGCACCCAGCATGACAGCAGTTGATGTTGGCCTCCTCTACACTGATCAGTGCCATTTGTATCAATGCAGCTTATTCATACAGGAATATAAACGCACAAATAAAATGGAATTTGACCAGAAGCTTAAACATAGGGAACTCACCACAAGGGATTAAATTGTAAATTTGTTTTTGTGTTTTTTTCTTTTTTCTTTTTTGTACTGAACAAAAGATGTATTTGTTCATTTCTTGTCGATGCCAACAGTATCGGCACATTAACATCCCGCAGCAGATGTCTTTCATTGAAAAAAAATATTGCACATTGCCAAGGACAGGAATACCCCAAAGTATTAATGTGGTTGTGTGCGGTCCAACTCCCCTGAATCATTTATTCGTAACAGCTAACTGAATAGATGTTGCCTCTCATCCAGACTAATATGGGCTTTGAGCTGGGGCTCTCCCAGCTTCAGGCCGTCATGAAGAAGGAGAGCTGATCATTCTCTACAGACGCTGTGCACCCAGCTTCTTTTACCTCCGTTAATACTCCTGCCATTTACAGATAATTAGGACACTAATGCTACGGGTTGCTGTTTGGCGGTGGCGGAGGGCAGTTAGCTATGAAAGCCAGCTGTGACAACGTTCCCATCGACTCTCCTAATAACCGTGACCTGGATCGGATCTCTCACTGGTTCCTCCAGCAGACAGCCATGCTGCTGCAGAGCAGTCCAGCATCTCTCCTCTAGGCTTGGCTGCTGCACAGAGGAATCATTACTGTGATTAAACCAACCACTCGCAAATATTCCCTAATCAGAAACATCATACTATGATGGAGCAAAAAGAAAGCTCATGGGAGAATGTTGGGAAGAAGCTCTGTTTGGTTTTGCTGTGGTTAAAAGGACGATGGGCTTCTTGATAGACTGGTAGCTACACTTTCTTCCACAGATAGTCTGAGTTATGAAAACAGCAGAAGCCAAGATGATTTGATCATCTTCAGTGTACAAGTTAAAAAGTCATGGTACTGTGGTTCGTTTGAGTTTAAATGATCTGGTTTTAATGTTCACAGAGTGCAGGATCAACATTCACTGAGTCATAAAAAAAAACAAACCTCTATTAATGCCAACATAAATATGAACAAATAAATACAGAATAAAATTGTGTCAGTCTTGCGAATGTTAAGGATGTAAAGGACACAAACTTTGATCAGAGTGAGGTGAAACTTGGAAGTAAAATGAAATGCTACCAATTTAGTCTGTGCAAAACTGACAAAATAAAATATCACACTGGCGGTTTTCAATAGTGCAAGAATAATAATAGGAATCTTGGAGCTGACAATTTGTGTTTTTATAAGATATTTAAAACTTAACATTTGCACTTGTTAACTGAACAACTTAACATTAGCAATGATGTGGATTTAATGGAAAAACAGAAAAGAGAAAAAATACTCAGCTAGAAAAGCAAAGTAACACCAGGAAAGCTGCAGAGTAAGCTAGACAAAATTAAAAGTGTACAGTACAGTGAGCAGAACCCTTATATATCTCCTGCCATATATAGTATCATATTATAATATCTTCCACTGATTAAATGTAGCATTTCAATAAAGCTGGGGGACTCACAAGAGGTCTTTCATTTCAAATCACCTCATTAAAATTTAAAAATATAGCTGCAGTGCAGGCACTCCTCTGTCTGAGCGACACAGAGACTAATTCTCCAAAGCTTTTATATCCAGCAGGCTAGACTTTTGTAATTCTCTCAAATCTGGTCTACCCAAAAAAGTTATGCCAGTTACAACTGATTCAGATCTCCCAGTGCTGACTACAAGCAGAGGGAGAGAACACATTACACCTTTTTAAAAGTCCTCACACTGGCTGCCTGTCTGTTTCCGACTTTAAAAATTCTTCAACTTATCTATAAAGCACTTCATGGTCTTGCACCAGCTGACTTATCTAATATGCTTCTAATCTATGAATCAGGTCCTCTGGCACGAGTCTTTTGTTCCAAAGTGCAGGACTTTTAGTTTTTATGCTCCGAGCCGCTGTAACAGTCTGAGGATCTGGTAACAGCTGAAAGTGCTGATACCTTTAAATGCAAACTTAAAACCTAGGCTTATAATTAGAATATTTATGACTATTTATGATTATTTATTTCATTTAATCACTTATTTTATTGTATTAATGTATTAAAATGTTCTATTCATTATCATTACTTATTCACTTTTATCGATTTTATTCTTTTTATTCTAGTATTATTTTTAAAATCTTTTAATAGGTTTTATTATCATTTCTTCATCCTTTTTTATATTTTGCATGCATTGGTCTTATTGTGTTACTGTTGACATTTGAATTGTCAATCATCTGTGAAGCACTTTGAATGAAACTAAAAGGTGCTATGTATAAAAATAAAGTTTAAATCAATGTCTTAAAAACCCCAGTTTGTAACACACATAGATAACTGATATATATAACACTGACTTTAAAAAGCTCCTCCGGAACCACACACGACATGACACAACTGTTTGAATCTTTTACCCATGACAGGCAAAGTGATCTTTGTGTGTAAAATTCATGAAGTGTGCCTTTAAATTTATAAACAGCTCTACAACCAAACAACAGAGTACTCACCTTGACATGTTTTGCCATCTTCATTCAGTTTCAGTCCAGGAGGACACCTGCAGTAGAAGCTTCCGATGGTGTTACAACACAAAGCCTCACAGCCTCCATTGGTCTCCTCACACTCATTCACATCTGGACGGGGAGAGACAAGGACAAAGTTCAGACAAAAACAGAGATTAGGAAGAACAGTCAAACATGTTTAAAATGCTCAGTGTTTCGGTGAAAAACAGCCGTTGGCTTTGTTTCTGAGCAGCAAAGATGAAGAAAGAATGTATCTTCCTTTTCATGACAGTCTAAGTTTTAAATGTCCTCCATGGATAAATTTGTATCCAACTTTTGAAATTGTGGAAAATGATCAAGTGCCTGGAAATTCATGAGAATTACTGTGGGAAGCTGTGTGTGTGCTGTTTCCATCCTTAAACCCGTCTCCTCGGTACCAACTTCAAGGAAAATACACAACACATCCAAAACAGAATAAAAATATATCAAGTGATAAATTGAGTGGGACAAAAGCAAATATGCAGCAGTAACATGTTGTCCTCATTGCCTCTGACTTGTAAATTTACTCCAACATCAACCGGGACTAGCATTCTTCAGCAGGATCTCCAAAACACTTCCACAAGAAGTCACAGTTTTTCCATTTCATTTCCATCAGCTACATATTCTGCCAAATCTGTCATCAGCTGAACCAGATAAAATCTTTCCCTTCAGTTCCCCTAACTACGCATAATGACTCGGGTCAGATACAGGTGCTGACAGTTCAGCGTATACCATAATTTGAGCTGAACAGATTCTGCGTAATGAGGAGATATTCAAATCGTGAATGAAAGGAGTAATGTGTTGTTCAGTCTCTACGCCGCAGTTTCAGGACACAGATGCACATTGCCTGCGTTAACGCTGAATTTCATTCATGTGGGAGTTTGTCAGGAGAGATTAAGCTCACGGTGCGGTTCGAAACTTGATGACACTGGGCTGTTGCATTTGCCATGCCAGTAGAAGGAAGCTTGGACTGAAAACTGAAAGCCATGGAGAAAATTAGGAAGGGAGCATTCACTTGGCACTAATCAGCTTGTAAACTTTCTCCATGTCCATAAAAGAAGAGAGTTACTGTACAGAGGGAAGAGTACGGACGCAAAGAAAATTGCTTTTATAGAACATTTTCCCCCTCCTAGCAAATTTTGGTACATTGCGATGCCAGCGTTTAACCAGCCAATTAAACGATTTCCCTCTCAGTTTACAACATCTGGAAATGTTCACACCAAAAACACTGCACTCCTTCTATTGCCAAGTGTTAAAAACTGTCGTAAATCCTAAGCTGCATACAACATGTAATGAAATGTTACTTTAAACATCAACAATACATTTTATTATACTATGAAACATCATTCCGATCAATTTATTACACCAATCCTTCTAAGCAGGACTAGATAAACTGCAGCTAAAAATCCAATTTGGGATGTTCACTGATTTTTATTTGGGCACTGCGTCACAAGAGTTTAATTTAATGCGTCTGGGTCCTGGGGTGAGACAGAGTGCCTGCCTGTTAGTTCACTTCATTTCTTTTGCTAAATAAGCAGCGGAACAAGAGCATATTGTAAAGGAAATTACACAGAAACATCTAGACTGAAGAAGATAAGTGATGGTCACTGAGCAGGGTGCGACCTGAAGTCAAGGGCAGGATTAAAGTACCCTGAGGGATCCTGCAGTGAAAAGGTGTGTGCGTGTGTGTGTGTGTGTGTGCGCGCGCGTGCGTGTGCGTGTGCGTGTGTGTATGTTTGAGGACGTCTACCCCCCCCCACCCCTCAAGGCCACACACCTGTGTGGCAGCTTGAGGAGGGGTCTGCCCGGGGTCAGTGTCACGCTCATCACTCTCCCAAGTATTTCTGCCCAATAAGCACTCAGGAATGCTGACCTAGTACGGGTCAGGAGGAGAATATGAAATGCAGAAGTGGAAACTGACTGTCTAAATTGGATAGATAAAGTTGCTTTTTTTATTTTTTATTGATGGATTTGAAATTGTGGAATTTCTCTTTATTTGCCCATCAGGAATTCAGTTGAGTGAATCGAAAATCATGTTTAGGGGGCAGCAGAAACTCATTTGTAGAAAACCACGCAAAGAAAGACACTTTAAGGATATTTGTATTGTATTAGTCTGACAGTGCATTGTCTGATTTTTTTCTTTTCTTTTCTTCTTACAATGAAGACCACATTGGAAATCAATAAATAGTTCCAAAACTCTGCAAGACAAGAGATATATCTGATTACAGAGAATATGTGGCTGAACTTTATTCTAATCACTATATCTCTATGCTACATGACTGTTTATACTAATGTAATCTTTTTTCATAACAGAAACATTCCCTGCCATAAAACTCATTTTTCCTCAATGTTAAACTCAATGACCTCTGGAGACATGAGTGAGTCAGGGGGTTGGAGCAGAGTCTACACCCTCACCTGACTGCAGGGGGCAACGGTGAGATTAATTTACCATACGTCATCCTCACAGGTCCAGAGATCCATCACCAGACTTAGCCTCCAGCAGAGTGATCAGACACATCTACGGGCGAGAAACAAGAGCTGTAGCCTCCTTGAAACAAGATGTGTTTTAAGATCGGCTCCTTCCCGTGAACATCAAATCACTAAGGTTTCTTCTCCCTGACCTCTGGGTGGGGTGGGGTCGGGTGGGGGAGGACGTCATCCTCACAGGTCCAGAGATCCATCACCAGACTTAGCCTCCAGCAGAGTGATCAGACACATCTACGGGCGAGAAACAAGAGCTGTAGCCTCCTTGAAACAAGATGTGTTTTAAGATCGGCTCCTTCCCGTGAACATCAAATCACTAAGGTTTCTTCTCCCTGACCTCTGGGTGGGGTGGGGTCGGGTGGGGGAGG